CTCGGAGCCAATCGCATTTCCCGTTGGAGGGTGCTGAAAGTGAGGCAATTCTTCAGCAGGCTGTCAAACAGCTCTAACTGCTGCTGGGCAGCAGTTGTGCAACCCTTGCGCTGCTGAACTCTTTCGACGCCTCTGCAAAGAAAGTGCTATGCAGAGTACTTCTGAAAATAGCTTGACAAAGCAAGGCAAAGACATGACACATACGCGGCTCTGTGAGATGCCGAGGTCAGGATTTCATCTTCCTCGCAGCTGCTTGGACTCGACCGCTTTTTTTGCGAAAGAGAGACACAGAGAGCGAGCGAGCCTTCGCCGAGCAGTAGAAGAAGAACAGAAGAAGAAGCAGAAGAAGAAGAAGAAGAAGAAGAAAAAGGAGGAGGAGGACAAGAAGAAGAATAACCAGAAAAAAACCAGAAGCAGAAGAAGCAGAAGAAGCAGAAGAGAAGCAGAAGAAGCCGAAGAGAATTCCCCCATGCCCCAAAGCCCCAAAGAAAGAAAGAGATTCGTGTCTCGGGCCTCATCCTTCCATTGGTGGGGGCCCTTTACTTTTGTTCCCAGGCACGGTTGTACATCTGCATCATGTCTGCAGGGAGCTCGGAACTACAAAGTTCGACAACAAATCGACCCCGACAGCAGTTGTGTGGCAACTTGCCCAGGTCGTCGGGATGATCTTGCTGAACACCTTTGGGCATCGCCTCTGCATGCAGACGTTGGACCGGCCTTCTTGGGGTGACAAGGCAAGCCGTGCTGGCACGACGGCACAACCTGTAGAGTGAGTCACTGTTGGGCTTTGCCTTGAGGCGGTGAAGCAGATGGAGAAAAACCTGGAGCTTCTTGCCACGAAATCTAAGTTTGCAACCCGAAGATAAGCCTCAAGAAGCTCTCAGAGAAGCGAGAGGCTTTGGAGTGTTTCGGAGTGGCTGGGGAGCATCTGCTGCCTTTTTCCAGGGCCCCTCCAGAGTCGGTGGAGGCCGCAGTGCAAAGCGTCGCGGAGGCTCGGGCGGGAGGAGTACCAGCATCCTGCAACTTCCCGGCTTACAATCACCCTGTCGTTGAGGCCTACGCCATTCCAGAGCAGGCGCTGACGGAAGCAGTGCAGAAGCTCCTGGAAGCACAGACCTTCGGCTCCAGCATGGAAGTATTGGAGGGCACAGAGCCGAGCGTTGTGCACTCAGGAGCGCCTCCAAAGGTGAGGTTACGAGGTCCAAGTCCCACTCCGGCGCTTTGCAGACCACAGGCCCACGCTTGCAGTCTCAGCGCAGTCGGCGTCAGGGTACTAAATGAGGAAGATGCGCTCTTTTGAGGTTCAGAGACCTCCACCGATCTGGCCTTTGCACAGTTTGACTGCCTTGGTTCGGTTCTCAACTCCAACCAAAGCGAGGAGACCATGTTGCGATTGCTTGTAAGGTGTGTCAGGGAACATCTCTGCACAACAGGTTGCAAGACATTGTAAGGGATGCAGGGCCCTGTGTTTTTCTTCTTTGGGGTGCCCTCGACAGCACTTCCTTGAATCTTCAGTTGATCAGGAGCTTACTTGGAGAGGCCGGCGGAGGTAGAACGACGACGAACGATGCGCGGAGGAAGCGAAGTTCGCGAACCTTTGTGCCTTGTGCTTTTCGCTTGACGGCCTGCTCAGCCGTGCGTCGCCTATGTGCCAAAGGGGAGTTTCGGTGGTATGGAGTGCAGCTGGGAGGCGAATGACTCCCAAGAATGCATTGCCAAACTGCTGCACGAACTGGCCATCTGTAGAAATGAGTTCTTGATTGTTGCCTGGCAGCATCGCTCGCCGGAGAAAAAAAGAGTGCTTTGTTCTTGCAGTGTTCTTATCAACAAATTTCAAGTGGAATTTCGACGGTGAAGTGTATATGCATATAGCCATCTTGTTAGTTCCGGCATCCGCGTTAGGACAACCTATGTTTCTGACGAAATATCAGAACGGCAGCAGCTTTGTCTAATGGAATTACGCTTCGCAATTTCTTACTCACGCCATGGTTAGGCTTATGAGTTCTCGTCGTGCAAGCTCATGGCCGCTGAGAGTTCCGATCGTGGTAGCAGGAGTATCGAATTTCCAAACGTAGGCACTCATGAACAGGTTTTTTGTTCGGGGAAGTTTGTCAGCAGGGTAGTAGATGACACGACTCCTGTCAAGATGACTACGTGTGGATGTGATGAAGGGCATGAGGGGCCAGCGGCAACATGTGGCAACAGCTTAGGCTTCTTCCCTGTTGGTCTTCTGTGCTAGGCTTTGGCTACCCCACACAAACCTGAGCCCTGAGAAATCCTGAGTTCTTTGGAGCCCAATTGGCAGAAAGTCCACCCCGCAATGGTTCGGGGTTTCGCAGGTTGCGTGCGAACCACAGCGAGGCCCATCGCTCCAAGGCCCGGGGGGGATCGTTGCGTTGCTGGATGATGCGAAAAGACGAGCGGGGTTCCAGGCTCGTGAGCCGGTCATCCTGGCTTCAAATCTGAACATGCCAATGACCAGCAAACGCTCTGTAGTTCACGTGAGGATCTAGCCGCAGATCTCCAGCAAAAGATGCAAGCGTGCGGAACTCAGAGCATATCTGCGCTTGAAAGCCGTAGCGGCTCGGAATCGGCACCCCCCGTGACTCCGGTGGCTCCGGTGAGGTGCGCTGCAAAGCTGGCGCAGCTTCGCCCACAGCAGGCTGCTGGGGGGCTGACTCCTGAAGTACCCAAAAGCACCGGAAGCACAGGCTTATGGCATTTTGACCAAACGGCCTCAGTGCAGGCCTTGTTGCAGCAGGGTGATGTGCGACCCCCTTGCCAGGAGCATCTCATGTTTCAGCTTGCCCGCTGGCGTGAAAAGCGCGCGCAGCTGGAGGCCTTCCTGGTCAACTGAATGGCTGATAGTGCGTGTGCTCGTGAGTGGTTACCTTCTTCTTATCTTCGAAGCAAACTCGGCAACGCAAAGTCACACACACATCGAGCCTGCTGTTCGATTCGCACAGACAGCACACATTCATCGGCTCTTATGTCTGACCGACAGTTCCTATAAACGTTTGTGTCTCTCACGGGCCCTCGATGACTCAGGCGGGCAGAGATGCTGCACGAGCAAGCCGAGTGCAGGCGCTTAGCCGCTACAGTAGACCTATCTAGACCTGAACGAGCTGCAGAACCTGCCAGCTCCTCTTGCACAGCATGTGGCATGTTTGGCACTGGCAGAGAGATTTTGGTTGACAGATTGCAGGCAGAGGAGGACCTCTCGGCAGCAGAGTGCGAGGCTTGATGCCGGGGGTGAAGAGAGGAATGGCGCTGGAGATGCATCTTTACACCCGGCGTGCAGCCATGGAAGGTGGAGCGCCTAACCAAGCAAGTGGATCTTGCAGAGGACGGGCCAGTAGTCGAGTTATTCGCGAGCTGCGAGCTTCAACTAGGTTCGCCGAGGGGTCGAAACTCGAAACATGGGCCCATCTCAGCACAGGCACAAAGTCCTCACTCAGAGCAGAAAGTGCAGGATTTTGGCGCCAGGGGAGGTCCCTGGTGCAGGTAGGGGAAACCTACGGAAGTCTTGGAAGGCCCAGCGCCTCCGAACTCTGGAGACGCAGGCCTCTTTCGGCGGGGGGGGGGGGTCAGTTCGGTCAATTCGTGTGTTGGGTCGAAGTCTCCGGAGACACAAGGGGGCTGCTGCAGTAGATGGGGTGTGCACCCGAGAGAGCTACATATTTCGAGGTGCATTGATGAGGTGCTGGTCCCTCCGTGCTCCTCTTTTCACATTCCTCCTTATACTCCTTCTCTTTTTGTGGAGGTGCTTCCGCTACGTGCGAGCTGCGCGAAGCTTGCTGATCGCAGTTCGGATGCAAAGCTTGGTACACGGGGGTGCGGGACACTGACCAAAACAGCATGTGGCAGCTGTACCGACACAGGATGAACTGGATTGCAAATACTTAGCTCACCCAGGGGAGATAGCTTATGTCCGAGCCGACCATGAAGCTCCCTTCTGCGTTTTAGCCACGAAAATCCTGCTGGCTTTTCCGAGGCGAGCTGCAATTGGTTGTTCAGGCCGATGCCGTTCCCTTGCCAGTCGGAACGTTTTGCTTCTGAACTGATGATTTTCCAAGCGCCTAGGAAGTGAGAAGTACACAACCTGATTATCATTTCCCATACCATGGACTCAACTGCTTTGACCTTCAAGTGTGCCATTGAAGCTTGTGGAGGAACACTTGGACAGCCGGGCTGCGCAGCGGCACTTTGGCCACAACCATTACAACAATCACAAGGTCCCCGCTCTTGTAGCTCCCTCGGGCAGAAGCAAAATTGCAACTTGCGGAGGTGCCAACTGGCCCCTGTGTTCCTTCGGTGCCTGTGCTCTCGCCGCACTTGCACTTGCAAAGGCCGTCTGTCTCAGGCCATGTCCTTGGTGGGAGGGATGCTCTAAGCGGTACAGGATGCACAGTTGAAAGTATTGTAAGAGATGTGCCGAAGCTGGTAATCGAATGACAGCGAAGACGGTGTCGCAATCTGTCATGTCTCAGGCTTGGCCTCAGCGGCAGGTGTGTTGCAGGCCGGGGCCGTGCAATGGCAGGCACCATGACATTGCGGCGATTTGGGCGGTCTCAGCTTGTCACACGCCGCAAGGCCCATCGCGCGCCGCAGAAGCCTGCGCCGTTTCTGCTGAAGACCAGCCTCGTAAAGAATAACAACTGAAGGGGCTGTTTTTTTTGGGGGGGTTTGTGCAAGGGTTTAGTGCAAGGTCCAGCTACGAAGCAAGGTGATCTGCCAGGGAGTAGGCGGAATGGCAAGTTAACGACCGCGAAGTTAACGATTGCACTCAACTCCTGGAATCCAGACATTGAGTTTCATGCCACTAGCTAGTCAATGCTAGTCACTTCAATGTTGGATGTCTGAGATTCCTGCGAGTGCATGAGAGCGCACTGTCTTCGGACGAAAAAATGGCTCAAAGCACGGCCGTTTCTTGAGTGCAGCCGCTGTGAACTGCTTGTTGTGTTTTGCTCCGATCAGAGACGGATTTCGACAAATGCCAGGTTGAAAGAAATGAGCTGGAGGACAGTCGTATGGATGGGTGTCTCAAAACCATTCTAGTACAGGTGTCATAGAGACCGCAGATGGTGTATGTCCAGGAGAAGTTTGAGAAGTTCGGCAGGGTGGTAGACATTTGGGTAGCAAGGCAGCCCCCAGGGCCAGCAGCTCAGGAACCGTGCACTCGCGCGCAGGTGCTTTCTTTGAAGATGTTCGAAGTTTTGTTGAAGTGTGCTTGCTTCCCCACTCAGGTTCGCCTTTGTCACCATGGACGACGAGAACGAAGCTAATGAAGCCGTGAAGGAACTCGATGGCTCCAAGGTCGCTGGTGAGCGCATTCGCGTGGAGGCCCATGGTTCTTATGCACTTCCCTGCAAAACCTTTGACGCACCGTTGGCCCTCTTGTCCTCCGGCCCCTCCAAATATCACTCCGTGTCCTGCTTGTCATCCCTCTCGCCAGAGGTGTCGAAGGGAGGCGAACCACGACGGGGCCCGCCCCCGCGGCGCGGCGGCTCCAGGAGCAGGTGGCCTCTTGCCACTTCGACTCTTCGAGAGCTGGGCTGTACTGTGTTGTCTTGTTTCGTCTTGTTGTGTATTGTTTTGGAACTGTTTTGTATTGTTTCCTGTTTTTGTATTGTAGTTTTGGAATTGCTTTGTGTTGTTTTGTGTTGTTTTGTGTTGTCTTGTATGGTTGTGTATTGTATTGTACTGTTTTGTATGGTTTGTATTTTTCTGTATGGTGTTTTTTTTCTGTATGGTTTTGTATTGTTTTGCATGGTTTGTATTGCTTGCATGGTTTTGTACTGTTTTGTATTGTCTCGTATGGTTTTGTATTGCTTTGTATTGCTTTGACTTTCCATGCGCGACCTGGCGCGTTCTCGGGCACCTCCTTGCAGGAGTCGTAGCAGGCGTCTGCAGCTCAGACCCGTTCGCTTCATATTTGGCATTCCCACGTCCTGCATTGTTCTGAGGCGGAGGAGGCGGAGGAGGTGGGCGCCGAAGAAGAAGGCCTCCCAACCACTTATGACCGTGCCAAAGCTGACGTGAAATCCGTCAAAGACCGGATACGGGGAGGCTGTGCCCTGATCAGGCGAACTCCTAGCTACTCTGACTACTCCTATTCGGATTCCCGGTCGTGGCGAGCTCAGCAGCATCATTGGGCGGTGTAGCGCTGCTGGACGTACGTGCTGCGTAATTCTGTGTTGCAGCCTGCCTGCCAAAGACTTGTTGGGAGAGACCCTGTTGTGAGAGACCAGAGTTTGAAGCGGTTTCGGGTTTGAAGGCTCATAACACAGGAAGCCTCGACAATATCTGTATGCGGTACATTAGTCCACGTGGATTTCAAATTTACTTTCTTGATAGCAGGGTGGGGGGAGGTAAAGAGTGCCAAGTACCTCTCCCAACCCGGGTCCGGAGCCCGTTTTCGTCATGCCCCGATCAAGTTGATTTCTACTTGGCCTACCCGAAAAAGTACTTGCGTGCTTGTGGGCAACAACGCTCCCGCGTCGGCTCGGGAAGACTGAACCATGTGAACACGTTGCGAAGCCTGTTGCAAGCCAGCTGGCCGCTAGCCTGAGCTCCAATCCGAGCTCACACATACTTACTGCAGCTTTCTATGAGAGTTTGCGTGCTGCTCTCTGCAGCCGGCAAAGAGCATCTGAAGCCATCTGACATCTTCTGAAGCTTCAGCACCTCCTGCGCCGCATGCGGCTGAAGAGAAGTCGCCAGGATGCCGGACCCTCGGGGAGGAATCTTGAGAACCCTGATGGCGCAGCTTCCCTGGCAGGTTCTCGCTAAGTGGTGGGATGAAGAAGGAGCTGGATGCGATCGCAGCAGACTTCACAGAGGCCGCGGGCCCAGTGCCGGGGCGGACACTGTAGGAGTTTTCTGTTCGTCGTGCTTGCGCAAGCTTCGCACCACCTTGCTCCGACTTAGTTGGTCCAAATGCACCGCTCGCATGGGTCTCAGAGCTTTGGAGCCAGAAGCTGTCGACATGGTTCTTGCTCCCGAAGAGTTGTTCCTTCCTAGCTTGCTTGTGCCGTCCTGACCAGGAGGAAAGCTTTGAATGAGATTGCATACGGGTCAGGACTGCTCGATGTTCACCTTCTGTTGGAGTACTGGGGCCGCAGTCCTGTAGGCAGCCTCCAGTGGAGGTGGAGCATTCATTGCATAAAGTGGTGGATGATTCTTAGGGTTTAGGGGCTCTTTCTCTGTCACAGCTTCACTCACTCCCTCGCTTACTGTCTCATTCGCTCCCTGACTCTCTCTCTCTCTCTCCGCGCACTCTCGCTCTCTCGTTTTTGCACACTCCCTTGCGCACCCTTTTGCCGGTTTCCTGCTTTCCGCTTCTCCGCATGTTCCCACTTCACGCATGTGCACCCAGGACCTCGCTATTCGGGCAATGCGCCGCAGAAGAACATGATGGGAGCCCCGGCCAAAGTGCCTGGCCCGGGCCTTTGATTCTCACAATCACATTCCAGTCATACAGCAAGCGGGTTCTTGTTTCAGAAGTCCGGAAGACTGGCTGTGGCACTATTGCCTCGCCAAGGCATCGATTTTGCTGTCCCATCAGGACGGCAGATGGAGTGGAAAGCCCGGTGTAAGCTTGAGTCAGAGTGGAATTACTGTAGAGTTCTTCACGGCCCGTGCAGAACTGGATCCGTCAAACGGCAATCTCATGCACCTGGTCTGGAACCAAGAGCCTTCGTAGAACTGGAACGACCAGGGCGAAGTTCATGGCACTGGGATATTGGAGGGCTTCGTCTTGAGCTCTGGTGTTGCTCAGGTGAAGCCTCGCAGCAGCGAAGTTGCTGATCCCCCAGTGCAGATCTAGGGGGCTTCGTGGTTTCGTACTAAATATGCCGGTTACATGTATATACTACATACCTCGTGCGGGGTCCTGCAGCCCCAGGCGATGCTGATGGCCGAGCATGCCCGGTGGGCCCAAAGAGAGACCCTCAAGGCTACTTTTACGGCTCAAGCTCACCTGCATGCAGCACTCGGCATCAACGGAGCTCACACACTTTGGACAAGGCTCTTTACCTGGCTGCAGGCGACACCTATCAGGCCCCATCTGTCTTTCTTGGATGATAGGGTTGTGTCCGCAATGTCCATCAACAGGCGCAGCACTGCAGCAATTTCAGTGTTCTTACCCCACACTAGCAGCAGGGCAGCAAGCAGCATCCTCCAGAATCTCTTATGGTGTGACGTAGATGGTGAGACATTGTGCACTACCCACAGGCCTTAGCAATTGCAAATCATAAATATGCGGAAGCATAACTAGGAGTCGGGTTAGTTAAACAGGAATATGAAGAGCAATCTGAGCAGGCACAACACAAGCTGAACACTCCTCCTCAGCCGTAAAGCCAAAAGAAGAGATGCACCCCATCAAGTCGTTTTCTAAAACCCAGCGATCATAATCATCTTTGTCCGCCTAACCCTCCTCCTCCTCCTCATCATCATCATATTCATCGTGGTCGTTAAAGGATCGTTAAAGGTGAACATACTTTGAAGAAGAACGCCCTTCTGGTTGTGTTGGTTGTTTTTGTTGTTAGTTGTTGCTTTTTCATCAAGACAATTGTGATGAAGTCTCGGCAATGACTCGACAGGCCTTTGAGGCAGCTCGGCGTGCAAACGCAGCCGCCATGGAGGACTCAGAATTTTCTTTTTCCCTCTTTGAACCGTGGGCCTGTACCGTACGATCCAAGAGAGATCACGCCAATCCTCAGAAAACAAAATCAAGCAGCAGGCCTTACGCCAGCCCAGTGCGAGCTTCCCTGCAAGAGCCTCAGATTATTTGGAAGATATTGCAGACGATCATCTCACACACCACGTCCTATCTTCATCCCCGTTGCATCTTGGTCATGTTTCTTTCAAGACGAGACCTCGACGCGTCTGCGGCGACTAGTTGAAGGTTTCGTGGACATGATGGTTAGACTGAGCACTCAGCGTCAGCCCAGACCTATGCGGAGCGGCCTTTGCCTGGCGAGCCCTGGTTGTCGGCGGCCCGCTGGCCGACCGCCGTAGCCCAAGCCAAGCCCAACAAAGGAGTGGTTTGTGGTGTGATTAGTGTGATTTGTGGACTGCCCACTGGACGTTAGGATCAGTTTTCTTGAGGATCCGCCAGATCCACTGCGCACCATGCCTCGGGGCAGCCCGGCTCCAGGTGTTCATCTCGAGAGGCCAAGCCTTCCCAAAGCCCCCCCCCGAGCGCAATGCTAGTGGTCTCCACTCCCATCCAGCATGCTGCCAGGCTTGCGGAGTGGTTCCGGCTACACCCCAGACCTCCGGCACCCCAGCCGGCAGCCATGCTGCACTAATTAGGTGTGAGATTGAGGAACAGCTTGCTTGGCCCATTAGTCTAAGGTAGAAGAAATCCATCTCAAGCCGCCGCCGGTGCACGGGGAAACGCCACCACATGGCATGCCCCCTCTGGCGCAGCTAGGGCAAGGGAGCAACGCAGATGCGAAGGCAACTGCCACCTGTGTTGAGCTGTAAGCATGTATGGGCTGGATGATTAGAAGATCTCCAGGGCGGTGCGGCCGCAGCACCGGGACCTGGGCCAGAGGCGCAGGAGATTGATGCTGGTGCCTTCCGGTGCCTTCGGGTGCTTTCGGGTGCCTTCGGGTTGTGGCAGGCTGCATTGTCGTCGTCATCTTGCTCATGCCAGGAGCGCACCTGGGCGCCCTACAGGGCTCCAGCCCCTGTTCCCTTTCTGTCGGGCAAGGATCCTTACATCAGCGTGGGCCTTGGGACCGTGCTTCGTAGGTTTGACGTTTGGGCTGTTGGTGCCTTGAAGAGCTGTCTATTGAAGCCTTTTTTGGCCTTTTGGGTTCTTTGAATTGTAACACACCGAGATTGCAAGCTCTGAGAAAACTGAAGGATCATTGTAGAAGATCAGTAGCCAGATCACTTCCCAGATCTTCCCAGACTCCCACAGGCAAGCCTGCGCCGCCTCCAAATCGAGACGACGATCCTGATCCGACTCCGGACCTTCCGAGATATCGTGCGGATTGCTTTGCAGAGGGATGCAGAAGGCCAATCCATAAATGAGGATGTGCGTTAAGACTCTGAGCATCCTGCAGGATCGGGCGACGCCACCGTCTCCTGGTCAGAAACCTCCAAAAGGTGGCATTGCTCTCAGTCTCACATAGATCAACAGGGCCCGTTGCATGACTCCCCATGCAAAGAATGCCCCAGTTTCTGGTGGGATCCGCGAAACCAGACGCATTCACTCAGGAACTCCTCCAAAGCTGACCCCCCCAGACAATGTGGCGATGAGTGCCATGGATGGATGTACCGCGATCTGCCAGTGGCCTACAAACAGCTTGCTGCAGTCTGTCAGGCTGGTCGCTTGCTGGCTTCAACGAACCTCGTACCGAGGTGCCGTGCTGCTTCCGAAAGTTCAGATCTCGGACGGCTTGACGCATGCCGCAACTGCATGGGACACACGCCGAGGTACACCGACCCTGGAGGCATGCAATGCCTGTGCACGACTGTGCAGTGTCGAGTCTCTTCCAAACATGTTGATGGTTCCTTTCTCTGGAGGGTGTGGCGGGGTCCCCGAGCGCGATCGGATGAGGCAGCGCAGGGCAGCCCCAATCCTAAACTCTTCAGAGCAAGCAGTCGGACGAGTCAACCTGTTTTTCAGAACGCCGCTTGCCAGTTCCTCTGTGGTCCACATCTGAGCGCAGGAAGTTACATCTAGCAAGATGGCCGGCTTCTCCCCATTCATGATGGTTGAACAGAGATGTAGGTGATGCCAAGCTACATGTACGGACCGTTTCTTGTAAACACAATGTGCTGTGGCAAAGCTGGAGTTCGCTTGGGAAAGCCGACCTTGTCTCGCTTGCCGCTAATGTAACGAGGAGCAGGCCTCGCTGCGACTCCGAAGTTAACGTATCCCTGCAGTGCCGTGAACTGTCTGAGCATGGATCCGAGAAACAGTACAAGAAACAGTATGCAACTAACATTCGTTCATGAGGACGGCCTGCAGAGCATGTTGCATCAGGAAAGTGAGCTGAGCAGCAGTTGAAAGAGGGTGCTCTCCTGCTTTCTGTGTCCATGCTGAAGCCGTCTGTTGGAAGCAATGGCAGGTTTGGATTTCTTTGCTTAGCCTTGCAGATCTTCCATGCTTGTTTCCAGGAGGTGAACCCTCAGCCCCAAGCCCCAAGCCACTCTTTTTTAGTGAAATTATATCTTAGAAGCCATCCCTCGTGGACCAGCTCACGTTTCAGGCCCCCACGCCGCCGCAAGCGGCGCTAAGGCCGCGAAGGCTGGGTGCTGGGGGGGGCTGCTCGGGGACTTTTTTGGACACTCGGGGGACTTTGGGGATGCCAGGGCATGGCCGTGTTCCCGGGGGTCACGGGGATCAACGCGAATATTCCTAGTCGCAGCCTCAGATATCCGAAGACGGCTTCAGCGGCTCTCAGCTCGCACGTTCGCGTATTCCTTTCTCAGACGAGACACGTGCCAAGGTGCGAGCCACTTGAGCGGAGCCTCTGAGTGCCGACGGCGCTTGTAGCCAGCAACATGCGTGACTACGAACATAGAAGATATCTTAGCATGGCTCATTCCACAAGCTTGGCAGCGCTATGTTCGCTATTACCATTGCGCAGTTTACTGGTGGCATGACAAAGCAATCTTCAACCCTGCAAGAAAGAGAGTGGCCATGATGGCATATAATGCCATGAGGTGAATTTTGGCAATATGACTGTTTCTGCCGGAGAAGTCCTCTAAGTTGCTCTCGTTGGAAAAGCAGAACAGCTCCTCAGCCCAGCGGCAACATATGGAGGACTTGGCCTCAATATCTGACGCACTGCTATGCATGAAGCATGGCCGCGGTTGGTAGAAAAAAGACAGCTACCCTTAGATACGTAGTGAGTAGGGCATAGGCATGTTGGAGGGAAGCCACCCCCCCACCGTCAAACCCTTGTTTGCTTCTTCTTGGGCAGAGAGCAGGACTTCGACGACGTGGCAACGTGCCGTGTTGCACGAGTCAGCTTTTGTGTGGGTGCGCACTCCTCAGATGTTCAAGCCCCCAAAACAAGGAAACTCAAGCAAACAGCATGCTACACCACTGTTCTACTCCCGCATGAGCCTCCGCAGACTCAGATCCCCATCATAGAAACCCAACAGTCTGACAAGACAAGTAAAGGCAACCCCACTTCTTCTTCGATAGCATGGCGCTGCTTTCTCCGTGCCCGAGTAGCGTGCTAGCGACAGGAGATTGGCTTCTTGCTCATGCCATGATAGCATGCCTAGACCATTTGCAGTCCGCAGTCTGGTTTGAGGATCGCGATGTCCTGCGCTTCCCGGCCAAATCTTGCCAGGGTACTGCGAAATACTTCTGACATGTTCTCGCACCGCAAGCTCTCACTTGTCTCCTTGCTTCCCTTCAAGAGCAAAGCTGCTCAGGCCTCGTACGTCGGCATCGGAGCCTCCAGAGGCGTGGGCAGAATGGGCGGACGAGTGGCGGGATGGTTCGCGCATTCCACGCGCACGCTGGGAGCCAATGGGGCCACCGTTGCTGGGCTCGTTGCCGGCACTGGCAGCACTGGCGGTTGGCGCAGTGCGACTGCGGCGACTGCGGCGCTTGCGTGGGAGTCGGCGGTGGCGTTCCACGCTTCGAGCAGCAAATGTCGACATCGAGGAAGGGGAGAAAGTTGTGGGCATTGACCTGGGTACGACCAATTCGGCTGTGGCCGCCCTAGAAGCCGGCAAAGCAACTGTAATTCCAGGTGCAGATGGTGCCCGCACCACGCCAAGCGTTATAGCCTACACGAAAACTGGCGAGACTCTGGTCGGACAGAAGGCAAAGCGTCAAGCGGCAGTGAATCCGGCCAATACCTTCTATTCCGTGAAGCGCTTTATTGGGCGGCTGCGGAATGAGATAGACGAGGAGGTTTCCGAGGTCTCCTATGGAATCGTAGGTGAGGACGAACAAGCCGAGGGTGTCCTTGGCGTGCGCCTAGAGTGTCCTCACTTGGAGAAGCAGCTGTCACCTGAGGAGATTTCAGCACAAGTGCTGCGCACGCTCGCAGGAGCTGCATCCAAGTACCTGCAAGCGGATGTGAAGAAAGCCGTCATCACAGTCCCAGCATATTTCAATGACTCCCAGAGGCAGGCCACAAAGGATGCAGGGGCCATCGCCGGGCTTGAAGTCCTTCGCATCGTTAACGAGCCCACGGCTGCCTCCTTGGCATATGGACTCGAGAAGCGCGACAACGAAACTATTCTGGTCTTCGATCTTGGGGGAGGAACGTTTGACGTGTCTGTTCTTGTGGTGGGTGGCGGTGTCTGCGAAGTCCTGGCAACGAGCGGTGACACAAAGCTTGGTGGTGACAACTTTGACAAGTGCATTGTTGACACCTGGCCTTTTCCACGTTAGAGGAGCTTGTCAACATTGCTCTAACTTCTGGTGTTTGAGAACGCAAATGAAGGGAGGCTTCTGGAAGGTAAACCCTGCACATGAGTGCCCATGAACCCATTTAAGACTCCACTAGAGTCCCTGTTTAAGGATTGGCTGGCCCACCGCTTTGCTACCCGTACGCTGCCGCTGGGATTCTGTCAGAGGGCCTCCCCCTTTGCGGGACTCAGACCATCCTGCCGCCTCACCTCCTGACCTCCTGAACTCAGGATTGATCTTCGGGAGGATCCGCAGAGCCTGCAGAGACTCACCGAGGCTGTCGGGAGCAGGTGTCGGAGTTTATCGGCTCGTGGCATGTGGGGTGTGGCTCAGAGTGCGGGTAGGGACGGTTAGGACACTTAGGATGGTCAAAGCACCTGCATGCATTCCGTTTACGAGTCGCCGCATCGCCCCTCTGAGACCCCCGCAGGCAGCTGAGAAGGCCAAGATTGAGCTCTCCGGAGTGCTGTCCACGACGTGACTTGGCGCATTGCCTCCGCCCATCTTCCGGCCCAAAACTTTGGCATGCTGTGAGGGGTTGTTCGTGCGAGGCACACACGTTCCAGGTGACTGCATACGGGAGACAGAGAGACATGGAGAGGCGCTTCATGACTTCAGGATCTCCTTGCCTTTCATCACCGTGGATGAGGACGGGTCACCCCTCCACATTGAGGAGGAGCTGACGCGCGGAGAGTTTGAGGGCCTGTGCTCGAAGCTGCTGGAGAGGCTCCGAGAGCCCGTAGAGAAGGCGTTGAAGGACTCAGACCTGACCTACACAGACCTGGATGAGATCGTGCCCCTTGGCTGAGACTTGAGGGTCTTTTGTGGTCCGCTGAAAGTGCCGAAGCCAAGGCTGGTCGGAGGTTCCACGCGCATCGGGGCGGTGCAAGAGTTGGTTCGGTCACTGGTGGGAGGCAAGGAGCTGAACCAAAGCGCCCCTTGGCATTTCGAAGCAGATGGCCACCCGCTATACCCGCCCCATACTCCTGCGTAGCATGGGCTGTGGATTTGTCCCAGGTCAATCCAGACGAGGTGGTGGCCATGGGAGCCGCGGTCCAGGCTGGGGTTCTAGCCGGCGAGGTGAAGGACCGAGTCTCTGCCCTGCGTCTGCGCGCTCAGCGTAAGTGTTCCGAATCGTTCATTTGCATCATGTGCCATGTTCATCCGCCATTGGCATCCAGCTCCCAAACCCGATGACGAAGGATCTCGTGCTACTGGACGTGGTGCCGCTCTCTCTGTCAGTGGCCGCGGGCTGACGGCCCTTTGCAGGGTCGACATCTGAGTTCAAGTTGCCATCGTCACAAGCATGCGTGAAGCTTAGGCAACCCATGATGGCCTCAGCTCGGTGTTCCTTCCAAGAAACACCCGCGTGCCAGCAAAGAAGACAAAGGTGGGGCCTCCATAAGCTTTACACATGATTGAACACCCTTGCAGCGCACGTAGCTCATGCAGCCTCTGAAGCGCATGATGCATGGCTCCACGACAGGAACCTGCATGTCTTCATCACCGCTCGCTCGGCTGTACCCTGCAGGTCTTTTCCACAGCTATGGACAACCAGCCTCGAGTGACGGCCCTCTGTCCTGTTTGTCGATGACATGCCCGCAGTCTATGAGAGAACTCGCTGGACCACTGTAAAGAGAGCTGCTTTAAACAGGGATCCTATGAGGAGTTCTTTGGTGCGGGTGCGCTCGCGGTGGAGTAGAGCTTGCGCAAACCACAAGAAAAACCCAACAAGGTTCACGTGCCCTTGCAGATTCCTCCAGCCGAGGTGGAGGTCGTCCAAGGGGAGTTCCGGAAAGCGGATGACAACAAGCAGCTGGGAGTCTTTCTTCTGGATGGTGCTCAGCTGCCGTGAATGACATGGGTTTCAACACGGATGGGCATTTGTTATCATTTGTTCTTGTTGATTTTGGAGCATGGCTCACCCACGCAGTCTTCACTAAAAGCCACTCACGTCACCACTAGCAGGGATGAGTCCTTAGCCATCCCTCCCCGCGCCCCCCTGTTCTTCTAGCTTTCGCCACCCCGGCCTCAAGTGACATTGAGAGGCCTGCTTTCTTTGATTTGCATTGGCATTGCCTGAATGAAAAAGAGGGAATGCAACAGAGAGCTAAAATTAGAGGTTGGCTTTGCCTGGTCGAGAAAAAACTCGTTGAGTTTGAACCTGACGGAGAGGCTTGAAACAGTGGAACAAACAAGTAAGAAGCAAAATTGTAGCAAGGAACGGTTCCGGGATCCCTGCTCTTTGAACTTGAAGACATCTCCTACTGGTTACGTAAGCTTTCCGCCCATCCAGGTTTATGGTTCAAGCTTTCAGGAATCTTTATCGTATTGCTTTGCCCCGGGGATTGTCGCATTATCGCAGGTATTCCGCCGTCACCTGCTGGCATACCGCAGATTGAAGTTCAAGCCTCAACAATACGGGAAGCGGGGCACCTTGAGACCATGCCTCGCCTGAAGTTGGTTTTGTTTCGAGGTTTTTCGGGATTGCAAGTGGAGGTGTGCGCACAGGGTGAAAAGTCCGATCCTGCTTCATGAGAGCTGAGTTTCGGCTTTGCGTGTTGCTTGTTGAGGTGACATTCGATGTGGACAGCAACGGGATTCTCAGTGTTAGTGCCTACGATCGGGCCACCCGCAAGGACGTCGCCGAGAAACGGGTCGCCTCACACCGACTTTGCACGCATACAGTCATATAGTCATACAGTCATAGAGTCATAGAGTCATAGAGTCATAGAGTCATAGAGTCATAGAGTCATACAGTCATACAGTCATATAGTCATACAGTCATATAGTCACAGTCGGATCTTCACTCCAGTATTTAAATTTTCGGAGGAGACGAAAGTGACCATCTCGGGAGCTTCGACCCTGGCCCCTGCAACTCGACAAAAGATGCCTAAAGCCGCCAGCCACTGCCAAGCAGCATCAGTCGGCATTCCGGAATCAAAGCGGGTTCTGGAGTTGACAAAACGTAAGGCCTTCATAGACTTGAGCTCAGAGGCGTGCTTTGTCTCTGTTCTGTTTTGTAAAGTGAGCTGGAGCTAAGGAAGACGTCCAAGAAAAGGTGGCAGAGGCCATCCTCTGCGGATGATCCGACTTGAAGCAAAAGCCCCATGCCCAAAGTGAACTTTGAAAGTGAGCTCCCTGAAGATCCGTAAAGCTTCCGCCGGGGAGTTGGCACTGTACACTTTCCTTCAAGTCGGCGCGTGGACATTGAATTGGCTGGAAAGGCAGAAAAGAAGGCGGCAGAAGAAGCGTATTACGAACAGGCCGGGGGCTCTGAACGGATCATGCAGTCTTGACGGCCATGGAGTCACAGCTGCAAGGTAGTCATGGTGAAGAACGACGCAGAATCTGCTGCCTATGCAGTTGAGAGGCTGCTCAGGCGGGGAGCTCTTGCTGTACCATGCTGACAATGGGATGCCACCAGTCCTTGCTCTGTGGAGCGCCAGGGACCAGCGACGGAAGCTCAAGCCGACCAAAGTGGAGGTGCCATAACCAGCCAACTCTCTTTTTTCTTCTGTGGATTCAAACTTGACCTGCATCGTCGATTGGCGGCGTTTGGCTGCTTCCCAAGTTGTGCAGTTGACGGTCAAGTATGTCGCAGGTGCTGGAGTCCAAGTTGCTCTTGGCGAGGGATTTGCTGGACAAGGAGCTCTGCTTTTTTCGAAATCGGCTGCTGAGCTTGTTGCCTTGGCCACGTCGGGCCTGGAGTCTTCCTAGGAGCCGCCGGACACCGACCTCCTGAAGCAGGTTACCGAGGCCTCACAAGCGTGCGATTGCCATCCTGAGTTTGGTTGTTCGCTGACACCGATAAACATCTTCCGGGAGCTTGCAAGCACGGAGTGTGCTACGGAAACACTTCTGCTTGCGGTGCAGACAGCAGACATTTTGAACCGGAGGATCTTCGCGAGGAGGTGCGGAACATCCTGAAGCGGAAGGCCTTCAACAACCATGAGACATCCCTCACGAGCGCATTTGCTTGGAGCAAGGGCTCGCACGTCAAACTCCCGAAAATCTCCCCCGAAGGTTGAAGAGGAGTACGACGTGGAGCAGGGCCCAACTCTTAGCTACGGCTACGTTCAGGTTCAATAACACCAAAATGTTCGCTCGAACTTAGCTCTCCTGACAAGGGTAGTTGTTGAGTTTCCCAGAGCTAAGAGTTTGTTTAGTCAGGTTAGTCAAGCTAGTCGCAGGAGATGTACTGGTCGTTTCGATGCAAAACCCAGTAAACGATAGGGCGACACTCTAAAAGCGATAAGTCCTTCTGTCTAAGATGTTCCCAAGAGCCTTATGAACATGCAAGCGAGACCGAGAGACGATGCGTCACGCACAATCACATCTCACGCCGCAACCTGCAAGGCGGCCCATCTAACCTTACCTTTTCGATGGCAGAGGTCAGAGAGGTCTTGAAATTCAAGTATGTGTGGAGAGTGGCCTTCTGGAACCTATATGGCTTTACAGCGCCACCTAACCCGATTTGCCAGATGATGCCGATTAGGTGCAACAATATATAACAATATGGGCACCCCAAGTGACACATCATTGACTCTTCACCTTTGGCCCAGGCTTCGTGTCGCCAGATGAGCCGGGCAAAGAGCGCAAGCGCGCTTCCCTCTAGTCGCTATAGCTGGTCAAGGCACGGCAACTGGTCTCACAGGTGTCAGCTGTTTCACCGATGCTGTAGCGTTCAGCAATTTTCCAAAGCCCAGTGAGTGCTGCTGGTGAAGTATTGGAGCGGCAAAAGTCCAGTTCAACCGCTTTCTTTTTATGGGGCATCTGGGGTGGCAGCATGCGGCGTGTAAGGACTGTGAGCCTGCAGCAGCGTACCCTCAGACCACAAGACCTCCCACTGTCCCACTCCCTCAGGTCCTTTTGCATTCCATAAAGCAGCGTACAACATGCGCCACTATGGGGAGGGTAGAGTATTGCTGCGGCGCGCGCGGCCGGGGTCCGCAGCTCTTACCGTTGCCGCGGAGGACAATTTGGGCCGCATGACACTCTCGCATAGGCCTGCACTCACCATCTCCCGCCACAGTCCTATGCATTTTTTGGTCGGCAAGAAGCGCGGACGGACATGCCTGCCTCGCCAGCTCTTGGTTGGATCTGTTTCATGCGTGTCTTGTAAAAGGAACTGCCCTTTGCAGTGCATGTGTGCATGTGTGTGTGTGTGTTGTGGTCGTGCACTGTTCGGGGGTTATTATGCTGGCGTAGTCTGCACGTGAGGGGGTACCAGGAGCCCGCTGAGAAAAGCTGCTGATGCATTCGAGAGGCTTTCCCAAGCACCCGGTCGGTGGCACTCCGTACAGGGCCCACGCGCATGGCGAAACCAGCGTGGCATCAACGGCCATCTGTCCATATCTGTGCACAGGGATCGCTGTGAGGGCCCGGCAGAGCGCCGGGCGATCTCTGACGCAGTCTTCGACCTAATGCGTACACCTAAAATCACCTGAACGTCCGAAACAAGCACGGTCGCCATGATGGGCTGAGAGCTGATTGAATACAGCTGGACAACTCCCCCTCACCTCATTCTGGGGTTGCTACTGGTATCACCAAATGGCATGGTATCACTATCTGGAGATGCTGCCACAATGTCTCGAATGGAAAAACTGACAAACGAGCCAAGATGCTCCTCCGAACGAGTACCGTGCGCAACAGAGCCGACAGTCTCCGGCAACTTGCCTGCAGTGAGCCTGCGTTCCGCAAGGCCGTGTGCTTGACTCGCTCAGTGATGTGAAGCGTCGACTCGGGGAATGGCTTGCTACAGTGTATCTCGGTGACTCGGTGTGTACTTTGGCATGGATGCCTTTTGCGTATGTGTTGGGTGTTGCAGATTCAGCTGGCATCTGGGAGTTGGGCTTGCCAGGCAAAAAACGACAAATGCTGAAGGACCACGCATGCCGTCACGCTGTGGAAACAGTTGAGAATGCATGCGTCTATCATAGGGATCTGATGCTCTTTCCAATCTCTTTTCTCGAGGCCTTCTGCCGGCTTGAGCGTGCGGTTTTTCCTGCTTCTTTTTTTCTTCCGCCTGTGGGCGCCGCCCCATCAAGATTGGCCGTGGCGGCAGCTTTGCAGCGTTGAGGCCAGAGACAGTGCAAGTTTCCCGCGCCGGTGCTCGGGACTCCCGCGAAACATGTCCAACCATTGACACACATGGTGGCCGGTGGCCGGGTGCGGAGCATATTTTGGCCAACGGGAAGTAGGGGGAGCCAACGCATGATCGCTCGTGAAGCTCATCTCGACTCAACTCTAATCGAAAAAGTGCTGCCTGTGTGCTGCCACTCGGGAGGTATGAGCCCCCAATTATTCAATCAGAACGCCGCGTGCCCATCGGACAAGGTAGGGCATTTCGCCTGTCAGGGAAGCAGGCTGCAGCCGACCAAGCACGTGGCTATGGCTGTGCACGCACCCGTGCTGCGCCAAGAGATCGTACGCCCACATATACCTAAAGGTCAAACCAGGAACCCGCAAAAACATGCAAAAACAATCCTATAACTACAAGAGTGCCGGAATGAAATGACCATGCACATTCTCTGGTTGCGTCGGTGGCGCGGTCGTGCGGAAATCTGCGCAGACAAGCCCAGATGCGAAGACGAGCGAAGACGAACGAAGACGCTCGGCGCTCGGCGTCGCTCGGCGCTCGGCGTCACTCGGTGTCGCTCGGCGCTCGGCGTCGCTCGGCGTCATTTGGTGTCGCTCGGCGATGCGTCGCTCGGTGCTCGGCGCTCGGTGCTCGGCGTCGCTCAGCGTCGCTCAGCCTCGCTTTGGGTCGCTCAGCGTCGCTCAGCGTTCGGCGTCTCTCGTCGCTCGGCGTCGCTCGTCGCTCGGCGAATAGTGGCCAGCCCGAAACCTGAAACCGAAATCCCAAGCAATGGGGAAAATGATGACAAACCGCTGGAACCCTTTCCGGCACTTGAATCACCCTATAACAGTAAGGGACACGAAGCCGACGAAAGCCGGACTCGGGCTAGTCAGCTAGGCGGGTGGCAAAGAAAACTTAACCCAACGAAAGGTCGGCGTCGCCTGGCATCGCTCGGTCCCTCGCGCTGCGGCTCTCGCAGGCAGGGCCTCACTCCGCTCGAGCATTCACCGTATTTCATCGTCTCGCGTGCGCACACCTTGTGCCTCCGATCTTGCAAGTCCGTGGTGGGCTGGACCCCTTGCGCCGCCTGCGCCACATCGGGGGTCCTCGCCGCGCGGCGTGGCACGCTGCTCGAACAGTCGCGCGTGCATGCCGCGAGGGCGGGGCTCGCGTCACGCTGGCGGGGCTGGTGTTGCGTGGAATGTGCATGTTCGCGGACGTGAACATGGCAGCTGCATGAGGTCCTCGCCGACAAGCGCTGTGCCGGCCCGTCGCAGCCCTGAGACGCGGAAAAGACAAAACGGTCTCCAAAACAAAGCTGTTGACGATTTACCGCCAGATCACGTATGGTTGGATCCAGTCACAAAAACCGTCCACCGCCCGGATTGGATGGGAGTTTACCGTGGCATGACTTTTTAGCATAGCTGAAATCATCGCGTACCCGACTTCAGCGAACGTTTCCGTTTGCAAAGCTGGTCGGAGAAATTTTTGCGGCAATACTGGACGTTCGCTCATACTGCTTCATCCATTGCACCAGCCGACGTCGTCCTGGTCATGAGCCTACCTCCATGGCGCCGCCTTTGGATGTCAACGCCACGACGCGTGTGTGACGGTGCACTGCATGATCTGCATGTCGTAATCCGGTTGCAGATACATGTCTTGTTAGTTAGTGCGCTGCTCCCAGCACCAGCCGATGTTGGTTCAGCGGAGCACGAGCCGAGTGCAGGACCTGGACGCACTATTCTAGCGGACATTAAATAAGTGGAACGAGAAAAACGCTGGAGCAACGCAGGGAAGGCATCCTGCCAGGAGGCCCAGTGGGCGGCGTTAGCGGAATCCGTGCTGTGGCGAGGGCATCCGCCGATAGCTCGGGCGCTTTTTCACCGAAGAGCAGTGCGCCGAGACAGGAGGCAATGGCGCGATCCCGATGCGCAGAAAAGTAGCAACCACGCCGACTGCAAGTCGCCGAGGGCGGGGATGCGCTGCAGGAGAACATCTTGGCTGCGGCGCGTGTCCCGCAGTTGCCGCTGCACAAAAAACTCCGTTCCGAGCGGTGCACCGAGCACTACAAGCCCTTGCTGTTCTTGGGCAGAGCCCACGCTCCAACCCAAATGTCCGCAGCAGAGCTGGGGTCTGGCTGGGCCACGTTCCAAACACGGGTCTTGCCTTGGTTGAATTGGACCCGGGCGCGGTCCCAGAGCGCGTCTTTGAGCACGCCATACAGGCTGGAAACGCGTTCAGGGGCGCTGACGATGTAACTATCGTCGACAAAGGCGACAAAAGCAAAAACACCCTCGCCGGCTGCAGCGCTGACGCGACGTTGTGGAGGGCGGGGGGGGGTGCTGGGCTACTGCGCAGAGCATGAAGTTCTCATCTTGCTCTCCGCCCTCCGCTTGCATGACCTCGTGCTCGGTCCCCGCGTCGTCAGTCCAGATGTAGCTGCTCTCGCTCCCGTAAATCTGGCGAGCAAACGGCAGTAACGGAACAAGCTGAGGCCGCGATCCTGCTGCCATGTATTGTCATGTGCGCAGATACACTTCTCTACCGCATCCTGAACAACCACGGAGTCATCGTCGTGTTTAGTGTTTTGAATGTGTTCGCACGGAGCGTCCGCCCCTCCGCTCGATCCGCGCATCCGCTCCGTTCGCTGCACCGCTGCGTTTACTTACCTTCCGAGTTTCGCCGATATGCTTGTTAGCGCTCATATGTTGCTAGCAAGAAAAAAGGAATCGCATGCCAGGGTAGCCGTGTCACCCAGTAAACCCTCTTTCACCCGGAAGAAAAATGCGCCGCGCCCAGGCCAAGGTGGCTGAAACGCGCACCGTTGCGGAGCCGCCTCGCCCGGCACAGCCGCCAGCCAAGCTCCGGCGTTTTCAGCTGTCCTCACGATATCTCCCACTTGTGGGGCGCGCCCACTTGTGGGGCGTGGGGCGCGCACTGTGCAGCGGGGCGACCGCTGCGCAGGCGTGGTGGTCAGGGCAGCTTCGGAGGAAACGGCGAGGGTCACCAT